GAGAGAGAGAGAGAGAGAGAGAGAGAGAGAGAGAGAGAGAGAGAGAGAGAGGAGTGGTGTGGGTGTGGGATAAAGCTTCTTTTTGTTGTTCCTTTCATTTTCCTCTGTTCACCTGTAGAATTTTGGATTCTGATATGGCCGATCTTTATCACGGCCCTTCTCTTTTGAACCTCTCTTGTACATCATCTCGGATTTTCCTTGTTGTTTTGCTCGGTATGTGTGCATAGAATGAATGTAGGTTCTCTTTTGTTAGCGATCTGTTCGATCTGTTTTACGATGCCTGTGTTGACTCTGACCAGTATTCGCCTGCATGAGCTATGCGATCAGGCCTAATTGGGAAAAACTCACTTTGGACGTCTGAAGTCTATCTGTCGATTATCCCCTCATTCCTCCTTTTTGCGTCACATGTATGGCATGTAGTGATTGGTAGGATATTTGCACTTATGGTTGACCGGCACACGGAACCCATCGGTTGTTCCTTACGTGCACACGTGCGTACGTTCGTGATCTCGAGAGAGCCGAGTCGCCACGTACGCACTCGCCCGCGTAAGCCAGCCTTAACCTCGTGTAAGGATGTGGGGGATGCGGCTTTCTAAACAGACAGGGCTGCAAGATCTCCTTCCTGGGCGTCCGACTACGAAAGTCTGAGGGACCCGGAATATCGTGAGTATTGGGAAGGCGAACAACTCAGACAATGGGGAAATTCAAGGTATCCGGAATTCCCTTGCCTAACAGAAAACGATCGATTATGCGCCAGGGATTTTCACTGTGCCATAACTAGCCGTGGCCAAAAAATACACTCCAGACACGTCGCTGGCTCTAGAGGCACAGCATGGCCGCGTAGTGACGGCCCCGACCAGACTCGCCGACCACTGCCGCTCGACCACGCCGCTGGCTCTAGCAGGGTGCTAGCGAAGTCGTGGTATATGTAGTCAAACAGAGCTGCCCGGTAAACCGTAGGCAGAGAGGGAGAAGAGGACAACAAACGAGGGGCTGTGGCAAACTGTTTTGTGGGAGTTTCACCGACTCATCAGGAGGCTGAACCCTCAACAGTCTGCAGAATCCCCTAACTGATTACACTGTAAGTGATAATAGACCTTAACCCCAGCTGTGGTTTAGCATCAACGACCGCCCTACAATATATATATATATATCGTCAAATAGAACTGCCCGGTAAACCGTAGGCAGAGAGGGAGTATATATATGAAACTCCGACGAAACAGTTTGCCACAGCCCCTCGTTTGTTGCGTCCTCTTCTCCCTCTCTGCCTACGGTTTACCCGGCAGCTCTGTTTGACTATATATATATATATATATATATCGTCAAATAGAACTGCCCGGTAAACCGTAGGCAGAGAGGGAGAAGAGGACAACAAACGAGGGGCTGTGACAATATATATATATATGTTTTCTCGGAAAAAAAAAAAAAAAAAAAAAACGCCGACGACAACTCCCCGTCCTCACTCATCGAGTTACACCTCCTCTCACTCACCACACCTAAAAAAGAATCCCTATGGGCCTCGCTCCACCACTCTCGAAATGTGCAAAACGATACACCGCCATGATTTTTGTCTTTTGTGCATGTCGAGAGTAGTGGAGCGACGCCCTACCACAACCAACTCGTCCTCGGTGACTTGCACCTCACCTCACTCACCACACCTCCCTCAAAAATAACGCCTGTGACAACTCGTCCTCGTTGACTTGCACCTCACCTCACGCAGCACCCCTCTCACTGGAAGCACACCTCTCGCTGGAAGTGTAGTGAGTGAGGTGAGGTGAGTGAGGTGAGGTGTAAGTCGGCGTTATTTTCGAGGTGCGCTGAGTGAGGTGAGGTGTAATTCCCCTCTCCCTCAATGCCATTCTCTGCGGGCAACACAACACACACCAACACAATAGCAAACGTGCCATGCATTTGTGCATTCGCGATGCGACACCTCCACCTCGGCCTCCTCGTCACCCTCCTTGCGTCTCTTCTCCTAGTTCCTTCCGGCGCTGTAGGCCTCGCTGCACCACTCACCAAACGCGCAAAGCAAACTGAGAAATGAATAGGGCCCAGAACGTGGAAAGATACGGCGCCATAAGTCTTGCCTTTTCTGCATTTGGTGAGTGCGGCGGCGAGACCCCGCGTCCCACTAGCGGGGGGTTACTCTTTGGTTTTCATGTGGTTCATCCCTGACCTGCTTGTCGGCTTTTTTTTTTTTTTTTTTTTTTTTTTTTTTGCATTTATTACATTGGAAACCATTGTTGGCTCATTTACCCGCTGGCTTTCCACCCGATTAGCTGTCATTGGGCCTCGCTTCACTACTCTCCAAATGTGCAAAATGGGACTGAATCCAGCAGTAAACATGGAAACATACATTGCCATCTTTTTGT